TTGTTTAGAAGACATGTCATGACTAAACAGAGAGATGAAAGGGTGAAAAATAGACCCAAAGAGTTTGACTAAAACCTGCACCTGCTTGAAGAAAGGGGCAGGGAGAATTGGAGGCAGAGGAGCCCTGCCAGCTGGCAAGAGGTGAATAGAGAGCGGGGATGAGAAGAATACTGCTGAGATACAACTTGTTCCCATCGTCAGCCAATGGAAAATAACAAAGGCCTCCAGAGGGTGAAGGGGCAGAGTAAATACTAGTCTGTCAAGCTCAGCATCAGTCCCTTAGGAGTGTTGGAGTTCATGGCCCATGTCTGGCAGGCACATTGTGTGCCTGGCAAGCTGAGAATGGACTCCAAATAGATGAGTGATCCTCCAGAGGACAGCCTCAGTGCGAAAGGCACTGTGTGGCACCCTTGGAAACTGAGGTCCCTCTCCATGGGCAACAGTGCTTTGGGCTTCTCAACCTGCTTTCTTTCCATTTGCTTCATGCTGGACCAGGAGGGACCACTTCTAATGTGGCCCAGTCTGTTCTCGGCCTCTTTGTTGAGATAGCCTACAAGGGGACATGGTGCTTCCTGACATCAATGGTGCAGGAAAATCCTTCCCCAAGGATGGGCTCCTCCCATCTAAAGCAACTTGTAAGTTATCACTGGAAACACCACTATGAATGGCAAAGGCGGCCAAACCTTTAGATAATGGGCAGAGTGGGATCAAACCATGGACCCTGATGAGGTGACTAGAACTGAATTTAATGTTCTACATGTGGTTGTACCAGAGCCATCTGAAGAAGGACTATTCCTCCCCAGTCCAGGACATAATACTTTTGTGTACACAGCTCAAAAGTGCATTGGGTTTATTTTTCTACCAAGTCTCTTTGCAAACTCATGTCTGATTTACTTTCCTTTATAGCTGCTAGGTGCTTTCAGCTAGGGTTTGGAAACAGCCAGTATGCCCATATACACCCTACTGGAATCTCTAAACTCGAAAATGAGAATTGAGTGTTACCAATGTACAAATCATTCTGCAACAGAGCCTGGAACGACAGCTCCGAGAGGTGTGAATTTCCTCATTCATGACAGAGAGGTGATAATGTAAGATGCCCAGTGATGAGAATTTAAATGTCAACATCCTTAACTATTTAATTACTCATGTAGGAAAGGAGAGGGATGATCACAGATCTGCACAATTCCCTGCAAATGATGTCTCATTTTGATGTCACAAATGGGTGGCATTTGGGAGATACCACTAGCATTCCCCCCTGCAATCATAGAGGAGGGAAGCCCAATGATGTAGTAGAGCAGTGGTTCTCAAACTTTTGTATTGGTGACCCCTTTCACACAGCAAGCCTGAGTGTGACCCTCCTCCTAAATATAAAAAATACATCATTTTAATTTAACACTATTATAACTGCTGGAGGAGAAATGGGGCTTGGGGTGGAGGCTGACAACTCACAACCCCCCCGCCACATAATAACCTCATGACCCCCTGAGAGGTCACGACTCCCAGTTTGAGAACCCCTGTAGTAGAGCCTATGGGCATACTGAAGTCGTACTGAGGGGGATGTGAGGTCAGGGAACCCAGTGGAGTGAAGGGATGCACATGATCATATATTGAATATCTGTAGTCTACTGTGAGTGGCACCTCATTTTGGTGACTCAAGTGGGTGGAGTTTATTTTGTGGGTGAAGCTTGTAAAATACCACCTCCTACCCTTTGAACCCCCAACCTGAGTCCCGCTTTCAGAATTACTGCTTTCTAGGTTTCTCCCTGTGCATAGCTGTGCTTCAAGATATCTCAGAGGCTTGGATTTATTTTCCAGCTTGAATCTCGTTTTGTCGTTTCCTGCCCATGTTTCTCACCTCTATGCTGGTAGGTCCCTTTTTATTATTTCTCTTCCCTCCCCATTTTAGTAGCTGCTGTGAACTTCATGTACATGCTGTTTATTCCCTAGAGTTGCCTTTGCATTTTAGGAACTCCAGAAAAGAAATCCTGAAACGCAGAGATCAGTTTGCTGTCATGCACTTATCGTTCGCAGGTATGCTAGTTAGGAGTCTGCATATGGTGTGCCTCAAAATGCCTCTGGTTATCAACACAAGTTATGCATCCATGCGCTATCTGATCTGGGACTGTCTCCCTCATCCCCAAGGAGCTGCTAGAGAGCAGTGAGTGTATTACAGCTTTGATAGGCCTTTCTCAGGCCAAGTCTATGCACAGAGTTTGTACCACAATAGCTATTTTGGGGAGTGGGAGGGAGTGGAGGGCGAGAGATTATTTTTTTTAAACCAAAATAGTTATACCTGCATCACTCCAAGAGTGGAGGCAGTTATAGCAATTCAAAGGTGCCTCATATTGGTATAGCTAGGCAAAAAAAATTGAAATTCCCATCCCTTGGGAAATTCTGAGATGTTGAGTTTTCATTTTCTCCTGGATCGGGATGAAAAGTAGAAATCTCGGAATTTTTTGCAAAACTAAATATTCCAAAATATTTAGTTTGGCCCTTATTTATCTGTTTTGGTTGTACAGTACATAAAAGTTTTAAACATGCTGATCATTTCCATTTTAAAAATGTAGTGAAATCAATACGTTTCCTCAAAGTGTTTCGGCATTTTCTAATCAACATTTTCTACCAGCTCCACAAAAGTCGGTATATTCCCTTTCCCATCTAGAAATAAGTGATGCCAATATGAGCCATTTTATCCCACTATAACTGCACCCACACTAGTGTGGATTGTACCACTTGAACTTTATGGCTATGGTTTAAAGCAGTACATCTTTAAGACAAGCCCTTGATGTTCAGACTTATCCCTGTTAGATCTTAAATCTAGCCCCACTAGAGACTTCTAGAGCTGGACTTTCCTGTCATTAGTGAGACAAGAAAAGGCCTATTTCTGTGCCCAGGTGGGGGGACCTTACTGCTGCCTCAGCCCATCTCTTGATTAAAGCCAAGTGCTTTGACCGTGGCTAGCATGCTCATGTTTAATACTGGAACGAGGCCTCTGATCCTTCGATCTGGCCATGCTTTGTTTGGCCAGAGGGCCGCCTTCATGCTAGGTTTTCACCCGAACAGTCTGGATTTCGGCTTGTGTGTCTGGGTGCCATTTGACGAGCCCTGATGTCCATTCTTTTTTAATCTGTGGCAACCCTAAGCAGAGGGACGGAGGCAGCGCAGCAGCAGCAGCTGCCTCCGGGGCCAGGCTCCTTGTGCAACTGGCAGGGTGCAGAGGTGGAACCTTGTGGGGAAGAGGCAGGGCAGGGGGCGGGGCCTCAGTGGTCCGGTTACTATCCATTAGAAAGGTGGCAACTCTACTTCATGCTCCCCCAAGTCCCAAGGGTGCTGTAGGCCAGTTTGGTTCCCAGTGTAACTTCTTTAACTTATACTGGCTGTAATAGCTCCAAGGGATTGTTCTACCAGCCAGAGATCAAGAGAACACAGCAGCCCCCTGACACTAGCCTGGAACTGTCCCCTATACTGGGAGCACTGGGGCTGGGAAGGGGCAGCATGCAGCTTTTCCCCCAAGCTGGAGGAATTCCCAGCAGCCCGATTAGAGCAGCTTTGAAGTTTCTTTATGTGGCACTGGCAGCCTAAAGGACTGGTAGAGTGGATCAGGCTCTGGCCCTACTGTTTGCACTCCAAAATAGAACATAGACTCTTTCCCCCTGTTTCATAAAACACAATTCTGAGTGGCTGTATTATGGCTTATGCTGATGGAACTACCATTCACAGGTGACCATCTAAACACTGCCCAGACTTCTGTGGGCTCCTTGCCTCCATCAGGAGTCATTGAGTATTTTTAGATACGACCTCGCCAGCTCCTTTTAGAGTCTAAGTTGGATTTTCTTGGTAAATGATATAAAAGAACCTATAGAGTCCCTCAGAAGGCTCAGCACAGCCAGGGGCTGGGTGCTTCCTGCTGCTCCCCAAGTGCCCTCAACTTCCACCTGATGGGCTACTGCTGATGGCAATTGAGGGTGCTCAGCACCCAGTAGTGTCCAACCCAGATACATGGATCAGGAAATGTGCTTAATCCCTGTGTGAATGTATAGGCCCCGATCCTGCAAACACTTAGCTTTAGCACATGAGTCTGTGTCTGCAGGATGGAAGCCAAAGAGAGGGGAAGATACTGAATGCTAATGAGAAAACTGGAGGCACTGGTACCCCAGGTCCTGCTACTGATCATGTGAGTGTCTCTGCTGAAATCACTACAGAGAGAGATACAAATATAGATACAGAGAAGTTGCTCTAAAGAGGAAATCGGAGCATTTATAAAACACACACGGGGAATGTTCCTTTAAATAAGATATGGCATCACGTGAAAACAGCCGAGTGGGCATGTGTCAAAATAAAGGCTTAGGGCATGCTGATCCTGGTCAACAACAATAGTGTTACACAAACCGTGAACTCAGACTGGCTGTACGTGTGTGTGCATGGTAGAAACGCAAACATTTCAATATGTTGCCCTGAGTGCAGTAGAATAAATATATATCCCCCTTGCACAGCTCCCAGTTCCTCCATTGCATTTTGCAGGTTGACAGCTGGATTCTTCATTCTTGTTATTCTGTCCTGAGCTCCAGCACTGAAACAGGTTTAGCATAATCATTCCTGGTGGCGTTTGAGACAATTCATTCCATGTCCCAGGGCGCTGTAAGAGGATTCCACAGTTTAAAGAGCTGGGAGTGTGAGGCAGTCTGGTTAGGCTTTATCAAACTCTGTGTGAGAGGAGAGCGTGCTTCGTTCCAGTGAGCGTAATCGGACTTGGATTAGTTCCACTGAATGTTGTAACTGCTGCCTGCAAACTTCTGGCCTTAGTTCTGCCTGGCCTGGCCTCTATTTCCCATGTTCTCTCTCTGCCAGTGCTTCCTATTACGGTTAAAGGTCTGGAGAGGGAAGTATTGTAAGGGAGGTGAAGAGAAATTTCCATTCCTCACACACACACCCCCTCTCTCTCACTCCACCCACAAATGAACTTGATAATAATTTAACAGGGAGATCTGATGGAGGGGGGAGAGAGGGAGGAGAGAGGGAGGGATCTTTTTCCCAATCCCCTTTCTCCCAGAGTTGTAGGCACCTTGACTTGCCTGTTCTTGCATATAATGAGTTGCCTGTTGGCCACCCAGTGACTCAGTGGAACAGTACTGTGCTGCCTGCGGAGACTTGAGGTGGATTCAGGTGAGCTGGGTAATTGTTCTGTCCATGTGTCTGTCTGAGTCTATACGTCATGCTGCCTGTGCTGGGGCCATAGGGAACTCCACAGCCCCTTACTGTCGCTTAGGCAGTGACCCTGCAGGCTTCATGAACATTTCAACAGAACTGCTTACTGGAGTCCAGGGGTGCATGGAGTATTTTGATGGGCGGGCAAAGGAGTCTGTGAGAGGGAGAAGCCCCCACTGCTGTTAGGCTAGGAAGAGGGACCTGAAGAAAGTAAAGGAATTCATTTTGAGGGACCAACTGAAGGGAACTTTCCTTATTGATTTCCAGAGGGGGAAATGGGTGTGAGGGGACTTGGCAGCAAGGGATGCTAGAGAGATTGGCAGAGAGGTGGATGGATAGCAAAGGGAATGGGCACCGAGGGATTGCTAGTGGGGTGGAGAGCACAGGGCTGTGGGAGGGACAGGCAATAGGTACCATTATGGTTAGGGAGTGCATGGGCCAGGTAGCAAAAGGGATGGGCAGAGACAGTTACGGGCTGTGAGAAGGACACGCACTGAGGGGAGCAGGCAGTGACTGGTTTGTAAAGCAGGGATGGGTTGAGAGCGTGTATGGGGAGTGGGAGGGAGGACTCAGTGGGACAGCTGCAGGAATTTCATTTGGTGTAAGCAAAGTATAGAAATTCCTTCTCTTCAAACACCATCTGCCCGGGGAGAACAGTGTCCTGACATGTACTTGGGCGCCTGCAGGCTGCTGCTCTGTGAAAAGAACTTTACTGGTTCCTGGGGTGTGTGTTTGCTGGGGAATGTCCTGATCCAAGGATTCTGTGGAGGGGCGGGGGAAGCGCTGTGAATAGGGTAGTGTGAAGAACTGCACTTTTTTTTGGTTTGCTGGTACTGGAAAAAATATTGGTTTTTGTTGACCCGGATCTGAACATTATGAAAAATATCAGTGAGTTGAAGAAGTCTGTGCTGGGTTGAATCAAGGTGGTGGCCCACTTGTAACTTTTAGGCCATGTCTACAGTAGAGACGTTACTGCAGCACAGTTGTACCGATGCTGGTGCGCTGCTGTAAGATCTCCTGTGTAGCTGCTCTATGCTGATGGAAGAGAGCTCTCCACTTGGCACAATTAAACCACCCCCAACAAATGGCATTAGGTATGTTGGTGGGAGAATCTCTCCCACCGAAATAGCACTGTCCACGCTGACGCTTCTGTCACTGTAACTTATGTCGGTCAGGGATGTGTCTTTTCACCCCCCTGACTGACAAAAGTTTTATTGACAAAACTGCTGGTGTAGACATAGTCTTAGACCGGCGTTTAGGGCATTACATGTTCATTGGCATGGGGACTTGAAGTTGGATCTGCCACATTCCAGGGGAGTGCCCTAATCTCCAGACTATAGAGTTACTCTCATTGTGTCTCACTCTCCAGCCCAATGACTATTCAAGTATTTTATACAAAGCACAACAATTTCAACAGGAGAGATGGAGAGAGAGCCTCACCCCAGAAGAGCTAAGAGTCCCCTGGTTAGGGCAGAGCTGGGGTGAAATCCCTGTTCCAGAACTTGGGGGACCCATGGGTTTAAGTCCCTGCTCCAGAGCAGGAATTCAGACCTAGATCTCCCACATCCCTGCTGAGTGCACTGGGCTAAAAGCTATAAAGTCCCCAACCTCTGCCTCCTCTGGCTGTTTTGTGAATCTAGCCTGGAAATTTCTCTCTGGCTGAAATTATTCAGCAAATTTGTATTAGGTTCAGGAATAGTTCCAGGTTGACTGAATAGTGTTCATCAGAAAAACTCTTCACCTGAAAAAATGTGCCAAGCTCTAATTGTGAATCCCTTGCTGAGAGTGAGAGAGAATATGTGGCGCTAAGATGTCTTTAGGAAGAAGGAGTTTTGTCTGCACACTGGTGAGAGTGGTCAAGTAACATGCCTATGCACCAACAGGCATATCTGTGGGCCAGATCCTCAGCTGGTCCAACTCCAGAGACTTCACAAGAGTTGCTCCCATTTATAGGTGGCGTGGTCGTGGAGGTCACTGGTCTGTGTGTCTGTGCCTGTATGCTAGTCTGTCTGCAAGTACACATCTACGCACACATGAACATTCGTGTGGATCACTATGTTCGCACAGGGCTGTTGGATGAGTGTACATGCAACAGGTCATATAAAAGTTCATGAAAGATATTCCATATCTCCTTTGAATGAGCAGAGTTTTCAGTGTAGTCCTTGATGGTCACTGCCAATCCCATTGGAAATATCTTTGCTCCAATTCTCCAGTCAGCAGCTGCTGACACCGGATGAGTAAGCTTTGGACTTTAGCATAACCTTGGATGTAACAGCCAGATTTCCCTGAACTGGCAGGGACGCAGTCCGAACCTGATGGTTGGGTGCAGGCTAAAGAGATGATCTGGGGGAAAGCTTGCAAATGAAAGCTGCTGTTGGTTTGTGTGCGTCTGTACTTGGGAAGGGAATTTCAGTGCTTTGTGAGAGTGAATGGAGCTGTAACCTTGGCAGAGCTGAGCACAGCTTCGACAAGTGCCATGCTGGCTTCCCCTATGTAGCTCCGCCAACTGCGACTGTCTGACCCCTTGATATTCCAGTCCTGGGCCACACACATCTCTGCCAATGCTCCTCTGTCGTGGCCTGTAGGACCCTCTTCTGTTCCAGTCGTGGGACCCACAGAGACTGAGAGCACGGCTGCTCTGTTCTCGCAGTATGTCTGTCCTACCTGCCAACAGAAGATGGGACTGTCTGTCAGCAGGGAAGGCAGCTCCTGACAGCGCTGCACCTGACCAGGAGTTCAGGGTCAGTGCACTCGCTGTGGTTAGAGTGACAAGGTTAATGACTTCCTGGAGACAGCAGGCAGTGCTCACTCTGTACTGCTGGATGTATTGCCCGGACTGTCCAGGGACACTGCCTGAGGTGCCAGGAGTCCTGCAGAAGGCCCCTAGAGCACCGTTTCAGCTGTAGAGAGCAGGGGTGACCCTCGGTGGCTGCCAAGTGTGCACTTGCATAGGCTAATATATTTGCTAGGTGTAAAGGAATAAGACAGGGACCCAATTCTTCCTCTAGCTGGCAAACCCTTTCCCTGGCTTATGAAAATCTTGCCTAATTCTTCCTTGCCCACACTGCCCCTAACAATCTTTGCACAGGGCCTCACAGGACATAGGGCTGGCTCTGACCATGTGTGTCCTGCTCTGTAGCCTCAGGAGAGATTAGACTTCATAAAGCACAGGCAAGTTTCGGGGGGTTTGGTAGAAACGTGTCTAGAACAGTATGGAACCAGAGGCTCTGGCACCACCTATCAAGCACACCTTTTGGCCCAGATTCAGAGGCGGGCTCCCCCACACCAAGGTGCTATCCCTGTGACCCTATCTTGGAGACTAGGTCTCCCCTGAACCTTGCTAAAAAACTTTAGGAGTCACTGGTCTCATTTTACAGAACTGGAGCACTGGCTCCTTTAGCCACCAGTGACCTCTGAGGCTCTGAGTCTCCCCCCAAAGCAGTGGCCTCACATGTGAGACTTTGGAAGAGGAGATCGGCCTCAGCGGCAAAATTCAGATCCAGATTTCCAATATTCCAAAATGCAGACGTGTTGGGATCTGGGAAATTTTGGTTTGGGCCCATCTCTGTCTTGGCAGGATAGTTCCTCTAATCCCCAGCCAGGCTTTAAGAACCCATTCAACAATGTGTATAGTGGGGGGTGGGGTGCTGAGAGCCATTGAATCAAACTGTAAACATTGTATCTGATGAACACCACTTCAAGCCAGGGGGTGCGGCAGCACCACCATTATGCCTAGTTTAAGCACCTATCTGTGCAGCCCCGTGTTAGATGCTGGCCTGGATCAGTGCAAAGCAGCCAGGTTGTTGTGGTTCCAGGCAGGAGTCCTCTCCCCATTGTCACTCATTGGCCTTCCTCTCCCATCCTGGTATATTTGAGATGGGGTCTGGGATTGAGTGGCTGGTGAGTCACAAGTATATATTTATTCCAGCTCTGGGAGTTAAGGTTCTTGCTATTCACCTTCTTGTTTCTCTTGAAGTCTCCATGTCTACACTAGCAAGCTTACAGCGGCACAGCTGTACTGCTGTAAGATGTCTCATGTGGCTGCTCTATGCCGACAGGAGAGAGCTCTCCCATTGACATAATAAAACCACCTAACAAGCGGCAGTAGCTATGTTGGTGGGAAAGCATCTCCCACTAACATAATGCTGTGCACACAGGCGCTTATGCCAGCGAAATGTATGTTGCTCAGGGGTATTTGTGTGACGTGTATCTGGAAGAATGTGAGCCGGGGTGTTTCTGTGAGGTGCAGCTCCCTGTTACTTTGGAATGTGCTGGGAGCTCTTTGTTCTCTGGTAGCAGGTAGAACCAGCCTGGGAGTTGAGCAGTAATTGTTTCTTTAACTTACTTGGATTAAAGCAGTTACTTTCTTTAATACAAAGGCAGAGGGAGCTGATTCTGCTCTTGCTTATGTAAGCAGAGTCAGGATGAGCTCTACCCTGACATCTGGTGGTGAATTATGGTGAGTGTGGAAAAGAACTCCAGGGGCTGATCTTGTTTGCATAGGCACACCCACTCGCCTGGCATGAAACAACAGCAACTCAAAGTGGTTACTTTGGCTGGTGTGGGATCCCCAGTCTTCTCTGTTATTGGGGCAGGAAGAATAAAGTTTTGTTACCCTGATTCTGTGAATCAAGGGCAGTGAAACTGTTGTATGACAGAAGGACTGAGTGAGTCCTTCACCATTACCTTAGTAGCACTTGCTTGACAAGGGGCATGGGTTACAAAACCCAGTGAATGGAGAGAGGATGGGGACAGGTATTTGTACCTGATGGTATGGGCCTTCTCTGAGGAGTTGAAACACCAATTGCACTACCTTCTCTCTCTACTGTTGAATATCAGCGCTAACTTTGATTCTATTAGAAGTCTAGTTACAGACTACTGAGCTGAATTCACTCTGGGCCAATGGTGCACTAGCACTGGGGCTCCCCTACTATGAGCTGAAATTGCTAAGAGCTGAA